AACACGCAATAAACTACAAAACGAGATAAAAACTAACTAAAAGATCTAATATGGGGGAAAAAGAAAGGAAAAATAACAAGGAAAAAATAGAACAAAAATGGGACAAACAGGATCGTCTGGACGTAGCCCAACTGACGCAAGAAACGCATAGGCATGTACGGCTCCACAATATCTCGGTACCTAAGGCATCCGTAATAAAGGGTCATGGGCTCCAGCAAATGTGGGTTGGGGCCATATGGCAGCCAGTTTACCTGTTCACAATTGCATAAAACATTTATTCAAACAAGTCGAGTATTCTAAATAACTTTCAAGTAAATGTAATAAAATAACTTAACGTACATCGGCGGTTGTGAGTCTGTCAAGCTTCCTACGGAAATGCTTGAGGCGCTTATCTGAGTTATCTGGGACGGGGGTCCTTCAAAAGGCTGATCGGGCCAAGCTGTCAGGCTCGGAGGCCATACGCGAACCGGCGGGTCGGAAGGTGGGGAAGTACTCGTATATCCAGGACTACATGAGAGTCAAGCAGCCCGCCACTCCCCCCGACTCCCCCCTGCTGGCCATACCTAAATGCCTGAATAGGTATGCCAGTGCGGCCGAGCCCCACGAGTAAGTCTCAACACTCTGCAGGTCCTCCATCATCTCGTGCAGGATTTTGGGACTGACCCTGTTACCACTCTTGTCTGTAAACAAGGTGGTAGCGAGCAGCACCCACAGCCAGCCAATGGCCACATGCTCAGCCGACCGACCTGCGCCATTCTTCTCCAACGCAGTAAAAACGGCTTCATTCGTCACCGAGCCGTGACCTCAAAACTTCGCTATCAGGTTTCCTGGTCCACCTCCAGGAGCTCCATGCAGTGCGCTTGCTGTGTCAAGGTGTCGGGGTCCCCTGTGACTACCGCACCGACGACAGGAACCCCCAATATCGCCCTCACGTCGTGCAACATGATACTCATTTCACCAAAAGACAGGTGAAACGAGTTGGTATCCGGCTGCCAGCGCTCCACAAATGCTGAAATAAGTGGAGTGTCGATGTGTTCATGCATGCTGGACGCCAAATGTGACAGCCCGGTCGGACGGATCAGATCTAGCTGAGCCTCAGCCATCTGTACGAGCCACTCCCTCAAAACACCGTTTGCTGACATCTTGTTTTGGCACTTCAACGTGCCTTTAACATGTCCTGTCCAAATCCGGGAGGCTACGTGCCCTAGAAAACTAGGGATAACACTGCCGTCAAAGGGGCCACTGGGTACTGGGGCTTTAACAAGCCAGTTGTCACACTTAGTGCGTTTGCTACCCGCCCCTGTATTATAATAGAACAATCAATATATATACGACATAATGTGATTGATTGTATCAATGATGCACTGTTATTAAATAAAATAATATCTAATGGTAAACAATAATAAATACGTAAATCATTTACCTGAAGATGAGGCAGCGCTCGTTTAACGGCCCCCAGCCTGTCGTGGAGGATCAACTCGGCCGAGTCGTTTAGCTGGACGTGCCTGTGGCTGGGTCTGTGGCTGCTCAGCTACATCAAAGTAATCATCATAAGCCTGCTCGTCATCATCATATGTTTGCTCGTCATCATCATAGGCCTGCTCGTCATCATCACAGGTCTGCTCGTCGTCGTCATCATCATCATCATCATCATGCCTCGGACTCCTGATTGTCGACTCAATGGAGCCCCGCCGACGAACAATACGTATAGTCGGGAGACGTCCAGAACTGCTAGGCCTCACTGACAAGGACTGCTGACCACTCCAACTGCCAGGCATGAGTGGGCCAGATTGAGGCATGACTGGGCCAGACTGAGGCATGACTGGGCCATACTGCTGACCACTCTGTATCGGAGCAACATGATCTCTCGAACTACCAGCTTGGGCAGTCTGTACCCTGCGAGCATGAAGGCGCATCCGTTCCCTCTCCCGCCGAACGGAAGCATTCACATTTCGAGTGGATGTGTGTCGGAGTCCAGAACCCTCGAACTCGGCAACATACTCATCAGCCTAAATAAAAAATTTTAAACTAATAATTAGTATACATATTAATAGAGTTTAATATTAATATATTTGTTTCTTAATAATATATTATTAATATTTTTTCATTAATCATATATATAATAATACATATGATATTAATTAATTAAATTGATAATATTTATACATTTTTTAATTATCTATTATTTAAATATATATGTTTAATATATATAAATAACGCAAATAAATATATTTATATAAATATATTTATATAAATACATTTATATATATTTATATATAAACATATATATAAAATAAAATAAAAAACAAAAATAAAATATATTTTAAAAAAATATATATTAAATATATATATAAATAAATGTATATCTATATATATTTTAAAATTTGAAAAAAAAAATATATTAAATATATATATTATATATTAAATATATATATTTAACAAAAATATATCTATACATATTTTAAAAACCAAAATAAATTTATACAAATAAAAACTAAATATTAAATATAGGCCGCA